AGAGAGCTCCAAACAAGACAAGCCCAAAGAGGCCCACACCAAGACATAATATAATTAAAATGTCCAAAATTAGAGATAAAGAAAGAATCCTAAAAGCAGCAAGAGAAAGGCCACAAGTGACATACAAAGGGAAGCCCATCAGGCTATCAGCGGACTTCTTGGCTGAGACCCTACAAGTGAGAAGAGAATGGCATGACATATTTAAAGTGCTAAAAGGAAAAAACCTACAGCCAAGAATACTCTATCCATCCAGGTTGTCATTCAGAATGGAAGGAGAGATAAAGAGCTTCCCAGACAAGCAAAAATTAAAGGAGTTTATCACCAGGAAACCAGTTCTACAAGAAATGCTGAAGGGACTTATTTAAGTGGGAAAGTGATGACCACAAATAGAGATATTTAAAAAATTACCAAAAAAACAAAAATCAAACCAGGCAATAAAATCACTTGTAAAGGTAAAAATGTAGTAAAGGTAGCAGATCAAGTACGTGTGAAGATAATATGAAGGTTAAAAGACATATGTACTAAAATAATTTATTTCAATGATAAGAGGGTAATGGATGAACACACACTAAACAAAAGACTATATATGATTTCAAAAACATAAAATGTGGGAGGTGGGGAGTGAAAAAGTAGAGCTTTTAGAAAGAGGTCAAGCTAAAGAGTCTATTAACTTGATATAGACTGTTATATACATAGAATATTAAATAGGATCACCACGGTAATCACAAATCAGAAACCAATAATAAGTAAGAAAAATGTATGACAAAAGAAATCAAACATATTACTAAAGATAGCCATCAAAGCACAAGGGAAGAGAGCAAGAGAAAAAGAAAGGAACAGAAAAGAACTACTAAAACACCCTCCCAAAAATTTAACAAAATGGCAATAAACACATATTTATCAATAGCTACTTTAAATGTCAATGGACTAAATGCTCCCATCAAATGCCATAGGGTGGCCAACTGGATAAAAAAACAAGACCCATGTATATGCTTCATTCAGGAGACACACTTCAGACCTAAAGACACTCACAAACTGAAAGTGAAAGGATGGAAAAAGATATTCCATGCAAATGGCAAAGAAAAGAAAGCAGGGGTAGCAATACTTATATCAGACAAAATAGACTTTAAAACAAAAACTATAACAAGAGACAAAAGTGGACACTACATAATGATAAAGGGAACAATCCAACAAGAAAACATAACACTTGTAAATATCTATGCATCCAAAACAGGAGCACTGAAATATATAACGCAATTAATAATAGACATTAAAGGAGAAATAGACAGTAACACAACAACAGTAGGGGACTTTAACACTCCACTTACACCAATCAATAGATCATCCAAACAGAAGATCAATTAAGGAAACATTGGCCTTAAAGGATACATTAGACCAGATGGACTTAGCAGATTTATATGAAACATTCCATCCAAAAACCCCAGAATACACATTCTTTGCAAATGCCCATGGAACATTCTCCAGGATTGATCACATATTAGGCCACAAAACAAGTCTCAATAAACTTAAGATGATCGAAATAATATCATGCATCTTTTCTGACCACAAAGGTGTGAAACTAGAAATCAACTACAGGAAGAAAACCAGAAAAGCCACAAAAATGTGGTGATTAAACAAAATCCTACTGAACATCTGTTGGATCAATGAAGAAATCAAAGGAGAAATCAAAAAATACCTGGAGACAAATGAAAATGAAAATGCTGCATGCCAAAATCTGTGGATACAGCAAAAGCAGTTCTAAGAGGGAAGTTTATAGCAATTCAGGCCTACCTCAACAAAGAAGAAAAATCCCAAATAGACAATCTAAAAGTGCATCTAAAGGTATTGGAAAAAGAACAACAAAAAAAGCCCAAAATCAGCCGAAGGAAGGAAATAATAAAAATCAGAGCAGAAATAAATGAAATAGAGTCTAAAAAAACAATAGAAAAAATTAATGAAACCAAGAGCTGCTTCTTTGAAAAGATAAACAAAATTGACAAACCCTTAGCTAGACTCACCAAGAAAAAAAGGGAGAACGCTCAAATAAATAAAATCAGAAACGAAAGAGGAGAGATTACAATGGACACCTCAGAAATACAAAGGATAATAAGAGAATTCTATGAAAAGCTATACGCCAACAAATTGGATAATCTAGAAGAAATGGAAAAATTCTTAGAAACATACAGCCTTCCAAAACTGGACCAAGAAGAAGTAGAGAATTTGAATAGACCAATCACCAGTAAGGAGATTGAAACAGCAATCAAAAACCTCCCAAAAAATAAAAGTCCAGGACCAGATGGCTTCCCTGGTGAATTCTACCAAACATTCAAAGAGAATTTAACACCTATCCTTCTCAAACTGTTCCAAAAAATTGAAGAGGAGGGGAGGCTTCCTAACTCCTTCTATGAAGCAAACATTATCCTGATACCAAAACCAGACAAGGGCAACAAAAAAAAAAGAAAATTACAGGCCAATACCACTGATGAACATCGATGCAAAAATCCTCAACAAAATACTAGCAAATCGAATACACCAATATGTTAAAAAGATCATACTGCATGATCAAGTGGGTTTCATTCCAGGGATGCAGGGATGGTTCAACATCCACAAGTCTATCAATGTGATACACCACATTAACAAAACAAAAAATAAAAATCACATGATTATCTCAATAGATGCAGAGAAAGCATTTGACAAGATACAGCATCCATTTATGATAAAAACTCTAAATAAAATGGGCATAGAAGGAAAATACCTCAACATAATAAGGGCCATATATGACAAACCCACAGGAAATATCATTCTCAATGGAGAAAAACTGAAACCTATCCCCCTAAGAATAGGAACCAGACAAGAATGCCCACTGTCACCACTCTTATTTAACATAGTATTGGAAGTCACTTCACTCTGGTCAGAATGGCTATAATTAACAAGACAGGAAACAGGAAATGTTGAAGAGGATGTGAAGAGAAGGGAACACTTGTACACTGCTGGTGGGAGTGCAAACTGTGCAGCCACTACGGAAAGCAGTGTGGAGTATCCTCAGAAAATTAAGAATAGATCTACCATATCATCCAGCCATTCCACTGCTAGGAATTTATCCAAAGAACTTTAAAACTTAAAGGCATAAAGATACATGCACCCCTATGTTCGTCACAGCATTATTCACAATAGCCAAGGCTTGGAAGCAACCTAGCTGCCCAAGAGACAAATGGATAAAGAAGATGTGGTATTTATGCATAACTGAATACTGCTCAGCCATAAGAAATGATGAAATCCAGCCCTTTGTGACAACATGGATGGTCCTTGAGGGCATTATGCTGAGTGAAATTAGTCAGAGGGAGAAAGTCAAATACCATCTGATCTCACTCATAAGTAGAAGACAAAAACAATGACAAACACATAGCAACAGAGTTGGATTGATGGTTACCAGATGGGAAGGGGAGAGGGAGGAGCGGAAAAGGGGTAATCAGGCACCCATGTGTGGTGATGGATTATAATCAATTTTGGATGGTGAAAATGATATAATCTACACAGAATCAAATTATATTATGATGTACATCTGAAAGTTATATAATGTTATAATCCAATGTTACTGCTATAAAAATTAAAATTTAAAAATTTAAAAATTTAAAAAAAAGAAAAAGACTAGATAAAACAGCCAAGATACCTTCCCTCACTAAACTTATAATTTAGAGGGTTTGACAGAGGAAAAGAAACAATTAAATAAGTGGCTCTCTAAACAAACAAAGAATAATTCCAAATGAATGCTAAGGTTGTATTATTGACCTTGATTAAATCAGATGATCACCTATGTGTTTATGTGAACAATGATCACATACAAGTCGAGGGCTTCCAGAAACGACCTACAGGTAGACATTCAGCTATTTGCCCTTCCAATGCTAGAGACTAAAGCCTCTGTGAAAGTGCAGATTGTGGCTGATAAGGTAGCCTAGAGCCACAGGCATGTCTCCTATCTTTGCGTACTTGTTTGATTATAGTCACAGGATAAATTGCTAACAGTAGAATTACCTCATTAAAGTGTTTAAAATTTATAATAGATACCAGTACATTGCCATCCACTAATGTTACCAAGTTACATGCTCACCTAATAGTATATAACATGCAAGTTTCCCTAAACCCTTTCCAACACTGGATATTATCGAACTTTTTTAAAGTTATCGAACCTCAGAGGCAGAAAATGGTATCTCAATCTTTTTTGCATTTCATTAATTGCAGATGAAGTTAATAATCTTTTGGTTTAATTTGTTTGTCTTTATTTTCTTAGAAACTGTTCATATCTTTAGATCATTTTGGGAGAATATGTTTTCTCTTTTTTATTGATTTGTAAAAGTACTTTGCATATTTAGGAATTATCCATATATTATTCATATATGTGGCAAATATTTTGTCCAGTTTGTTGTGTTTTGCCTTTATTTATTTATTTAGTGCAGGTATAAAAGCTTTTACATTTTAACATACTAAAATTTGTTCATATATCCTTTATGATTTCTTTATGTTGTGCTGTGCTTAGAAAGGATTTCTGCACTCCAAGGTGATTAATTATTCACCAATATTATAAAACAATACAGAAATTTATTTTATATAAGAAGTGACATAGGAATCCAGCTTTACTATTTTATAAGTGGTTATTTATTTCTACACATCTAATCAAAATATACACCAGTTTTGTACATCAAATTCCCACTTATATATTTACATTACTAATGGACTGTTCCTTCTCTAGATTCAAAAATTATGTTACTATTGTAGTGTCTTAATATGTTAAAATATTTGATAGGATATATACTCTTTCATTACTTTTAATTTCCACATTTTTGCTCTGCTACACAGGTGTATCAGAAAAATTTAAGGTCATCTTTCAAAAAAATATTTTAAAATAGAAATACATTGAATCCATAAATTAATTTAGGGAGAAATGATACTTTTATAATATACAATTCTGACTGTGTGTGAATATTGTCCATTTGCATTTTCAGATCCAATCTCCACCCTCTCCACCTTGTTCTGTTCCCTGAGAGGCTGACCTTTATCAGGAACATCAGTGGATTTCCTTGCTGTCTGGCTTCATTAGGATTGACCATGGGAAACACCTTCAGGAAATGAGAAGGGGGCTGCATTTTTTCACTGAGGGGTACAAATCCTATCCAAGTCTCTTGCTTACAGCTATAAATCCTCTCTCCATATTTAGTAGTGATGGCAGCTCTTGCTCTTCAGGTCTTAGCATGTGTGGATAATGCCTCTCAAGCTGTTGCTAGCTCCAGGATGCTCATTATCTTTTTGGTTTCCTTAACCCTGCCCACACCTTTGTAAATAATCTTCTCATTAAACTCTTTTCAATCACTCCTTTAAATATGCCGCAGGAACTCTGACTGACACAAGTACATTTGAGATTTGTATGGAGTACAGGAACTCTTCATACAGTTCATTCTGTATCGCAGACTGATTATAAAATCTAAATGAAAATCGAGTACAAGTTGTTTTAAGACAAGACCATACCATATTAGAACATTGGTATGCACACATGAAGCTGAGTATCAGAAGTCACTACTGAGCTATGAAGGCTTTGAGTTTGAAAATAGTATCACAGAATACACATTTTCCTTGACTCATGATGGGGTTATGCCATGATAAACTCATCACAAGTTGAAAATATCATAAGTTAAAAAAGCGTATAATGTACTTAACCTACTGAGTATCATAGCTTAGCCTAGCCTACCTTAAATGTGCTCAGAACACTTACATTAGCCTACAGTTGGGCAAAATCATCTAATGTAAAGCCTGCCCAGCATTCATGAGAGACTATTGTACCCCATATTGCCAGCCCAGGAAAAGATCAAAATTTCATATTTGAAGTACGGTTTCTACTGAATGCATATTGCTTTTGCATCATCATAAAGTTGAGAAATTGTAAGTCAAATCATTGTGAGTCAGGGACCGTCTGCACTTTAAATTTGCTCGGCAAATGTAGACGAGATGGATACAGGTTGTTAGATTTTGGCAATGAGTTAAACTTCTGAGTCCTATAAGAATACGTGATGGTTTGCATTGTGGAGGCAACACAGAGTAAAGAATAATTTTTAGATTTCCGGCTTGTGCAGGTACAAGGAACATTACGCACTATGCTGATATGGGGAAGACAAGGAAGAAACAGATTTGCAAAGAGGGAATTAAGAGCTAATTTTAGGATTTGATAAATTTGGAATGTGTGTTTGTTGTGAAAAATGAAATATCAAGTAAGTAACTGAGTACTGGAATTTTGAGTTCAAAGGAGAGTTATTCATTTAGAGATGTAAGTTTGAGGGGGGTTATCAAAATTAAAATAACATTTGTGTCCATGGAAGTAAATGAGGTAACCAGGCAACATGGAGAAAATGATGCAAGAAGATGCTGTATTAGCAAGTACTGAGGAACCTAAATTTTAAAATTTGGTTTGAAGAGGAAGAGTCAGCAAAGGAGACTGACAAGGAGGTGCCTGCGAGGCAGGAAGAAAAGCAGGAGAGATCAGTGACATGAAAACAAAAAGGGAAAATGTTTCAAGAACAGAAGAGAGATCAGCTATGTCAAATGCTGCTGAAAGGTAACATGAGTGCATAGATGTACCCACTGATTTGACAACATGGCAGTCATTGGTGAACTTGAAAGGAAGCCATTTTTATGGAAAAGAGGCAAAGTTTTGCCTAAAAATGGTTCAAAACAGAATGGGAAATCAAGATGTGGAGATGGCAAGTGGCAACAACTATGTAGAGACTTTTGTTAAAGAAAGAGGTACCAGAGAAATAGGATAGTGTCAATACATATATGTGGATAGAAGGGAGAATTTTGTTGTTTTTGTTGTTGTGTTGTCTTTTGATAGTAGAAGTAGAGCAGTTTTTTATGCTTATGGGAATGATCTCAGAGAGATGGAGACACTGACGGTGCAGGAAAGAGAGGGGAAACTGACAGACTGGAGTCCCAGAGGAGAGACAGAGTGAAAGAAAAAACACAAACAGAGGGATTGGGGTTCGTAACCAGACAGAAGAGAAAGAAGATACATAGGGGTTTTAATTTTGGTGGTAAAAGATAATGGAATTTTTCCACTCTTTTTTTTCCAATGAATTATAAAGCAAGGCTAATAGCAGAAAGTGAGGATAAAGGAGAAGATTTGATCTAGTAACTCCAAAATGAGAAAAGGAGTTTGTTAGAAAAATGTAGTAGGATTACCAGGCATTTTAACCAGAAGGCCAGTTTGAGGTTACTAATGCAAAATGAAAATGGCTAAGATTTGTAGTTTTCTCAGAATGGCCAATTGCCTGGGTAGAGGCACAGAGAGAAGAGAGAGTAGGACATTCTAGCGTTAGCATTCTCTAGGCATGTTTTCTTTCATGTATTTATCAGTGGTAAATATTTGCACAAAAATTTATTTTGTTTTTAAGAATATATCCTCTTTCAGATATCTTTTACGTTTCTTCCTCCCATTGTCTTCCCTCTCTCCCTCTCTTCCTTCCTTTTCTTTTTAATTTCTTTTGTCTTTTCATTTTTTCCTTCCTTCCTCCCTTCCTTCCTTTCTCCCTCCCTCCCTCTCTCTCTCTCTTTCTTTTTTCTTTCTTTCTTTCTCTTTCTTTCTTTTTCTTTTTCTTTCTTTTCTTTCTTTTCTTTCTTTCCTTCTTCCTTCCTTCCTTCCTTTCTTTCTTTCTTCTTTCTTTCTTTCTTTCTCTCTTTTCTTTCTTTCTTTCTTTCTTTCTTTCTTTCTTTCTTTCTTTCTTTCTTTCTTTCTTTCTTTCTTTCTTTCTGTTTCTTTTCTTCCTTCCTTCCTTCCTTCCTCTCTTTCTTTCTTTCTTTCTTTCTTTCTTTCTTCTCTCTCTCTTTTGTTCCTTTGTTCTTTCTTTCATTCTCTCTCTTTGTAATATTTTTATAGGTATTTGGCTAGTAATTTATTTTTCATTTTACTTGTATTTGATGTGGGCAGCTCCACCTGGACCTTCTTTTTGTCCAACTATAGCATAGGTAATTTCTCCTTGACTCTCTATCCACCTGTTGTGAGAAGTATTTTTTTCCTCTCAAAGCTTTAATGTAAGATTTGATAATGTCTGAGTTGTGATCTATGTGCTTTTCTGTTTCTAGAGGTGGAAGACAAGGGAACTGGTGTTACAGGCATTTGTGATTGGTATATTTTCTCTCTGTTCTATTTACTGTAATTTATTAAAATTCCTGTACCTGTTATCATTCTAACACATCAGGGAGTAACCCTGTGTGTGTGTGTGTGTGTGTGAGAGAGAGAGAGAGAGAGAGAGAGGGAGAGAGAGAGAAAGAGAGAGATGGTGACAGAGACAGAGAAACAGAGAGAGAGAGACAGAGAAACAGAGATGGAGAGAGAGACTGAGATAGAGAGAAGACATAAGTCTTTGGGTTTTCTCCCAATACAGGCTAAACTACAATGATCAGGGTTTGTCTATTTCTCCTGAACATTCTTCCCACTTCACTCATAGTAAAAGGAGGAGACAGATAGATGAGAAGTTTGGTCCACAGTGGGGAAGGAGGTTTAAGTTTAACTCTCTGAATGTTTTCAAATTGACTTCCATGATGCTTGTCATCTTTTTTTTCTTTGGGCTGTCTGTGTTGAATCCTGTTTTTCATAGTCGGATATGAATAGCTTTGGAAAATCACAATCAATCTCATTTCTTTCTCTATTCTCTCTCCCAGTCAAGGTGACAACATGGCATATTCCAACATATATACTCTGCCCCTGGACTGAGAAGGCAATGCTATTTTAAAGGTTTATTTAACAATTTTTTCTTGCATTCCCACTATCATCTCTGTTTGCTTCCTTCTATATAGAGTGGCATGATTGATTGACATTATTTTGGAATTTTCCTACTTATCCTCTTCCAGGTATTGGGAGATGATAGCTTTGGAGGGAAAATATGCAGGGAATGAGATTTGAAAGCTGCTTTCTTTCAATTTACTATTACCCTGTCTCTGGCTAATGTGACACTTCAAAATTGTAGGAGTGCCTATTACAATTTGAGAAAACAAATTTTATTGGTTTTTTTTCCAGCTTTATTGAGATATAATTGACATATGATATTGTGTAAATTTAAGGTGTACAATGTGATGATTTGATACATGTATATATGGCAAAATGTTTTCACCACAATAAAGTTAACACACCCTTTAATTAACTGTTGTTGCTGTTTTTATGGTGAGAACATTAAAACTATTCTCATAGCAACTTTCAAGTATATAATATGGTATTTTTAACTATAATCACCAGGTGTACATTACCTGCCCAGACTTATTCATCTTATAACTGGAAGTTTGTACATTTTGACCAACATCTCCTCATTTTCCCCACCCCTTAGCCCCTGGCAACCACCATTCCACTCTCTGTTTCCATGAGTTCAATGCTTTTAGATTCCACGTATAAGTGAAATCATATAGTATTTGTCTTTCTCTGTGACTTATTTCACTTTGCAAAATGCCCTCAATGTCCATCCATGTTGTCACAAATGGCAAAATTTCCTTCCTTTTCATGACTGAAGAATATTCCGTTGTGCGTGAGTGTATATATATATATATATATATATATATATATATACACCACATTTTCTTTATCCATTCATCTGATATAAGTTGTTGCATGCCTTTGCTATTGTGGATAATGCTGCAATGAAAATGAGAGTGCAGATATCTCTTCAAGAGAGTGGTTTCGTCTCCTTTGGATATATACCCAGAAGTAGGATTACTGGATCATATGGTAGTACTATGTTTAATTTTTTAGGAACCTCCATAAGGTTTTCCATAGTGGCTATACCAATTTACATTTATACCAAAAGTACATCAGGTTTCCTTTTTCCCACATCCTCACAGCATTTGTTATCTCTTGTTTTTTGGATAATAGCTATTTTAACAGATGTAAGGTGATATCTCATTGTCATTTTGACTTACATTTACCTGATGATTAGTGATGTTGATCACCTTTTCATATTCTTATGGCCATTTGTATATCTTCTTTGGAAAAATCTCTATTCAAGTCCTCTGCCCCTTTTTAAATTGGATTATTTGTTACTTTGCTATTGAGTTGTATGTGCTCCTTACATATTTTGGATGTTAACTCCTTATTGGACATATGGTTTGCAAACATATTCTCTCATTCTGTAGGTTGCCTTTTTATTTTGTTGATTGCTACTTTTGCTATGCAGAAGCTTTTTAGTTTGAGGTAATCCCACTTGTTTATTTTTGTTTTTGTTGTCATCTCCAAGATAGCGTTACCAAGACCAGTGTCAAGGAACTTCTTCCCTATGTTTTCTTCTAGGAGTATTATGATTTCAAGTCTTAAATTAAAGTCCTTAATCTATTTAATTTTAACTTAATCTGGTTAATTTTTGTGAGTGGTAGAAGATAAGCATCCAATTTCGCTCTTTTGAATGTAGATATCCAGTTTTCCTAACGTA